ATTCGTTATGTTTTGTTTGCGAACAAAACATGTTGCTTAAGTTGCTAGACTTCAGATATTGAAACACTAAGCAAGCGTTCAGCGTAGATTGTTGGTTTTTAAAGTAATAAATAACATTGTGAAAGTAAGAGCGGGTAATGTACTACGGTATGAGGTTCAGGACAACTTTTCTTAATCTTAAAAGTATGATTTTTCAGTATATATATATATATATAAGATTAATCATACAAACTTTTAAACTTTACTTTAATTTCCCCGCAGTTTGTAGCCTCTTTTTATCTGTATGTCGTTTACGTACGGGATTGAACATAAAAAATATTTTCCAAACAAACTATTATTTTCAATATGAAACGGAACATCATTTTCTACGAACTGTACAACTCAATGTTTACCACTAATCACCCGATCCTGTTTAAGCAAAAATAAGTTTGTTTTTTCGTATATTGCTTAACAGAATAAACACGAAACGTTAGCTAGTACATATAACTTAAATATACATTTAGACGGGTTTTAAAGACAATAGTTTGTATTAATTCCAGATTATTTACCTATCTCAGTTACCTTAATTCCTGATAGAACACAACAAACTTACGACTGGTTTTGATGGTCGTACAGGATTGTTATTTATTTCCGTGTTGGTCTGTGTGCTGTTTGAATCAACCAAACATTTGTAGTCCATAAAACGTCAGAATATACTTCTCTTGCTACACCACATTTTTAAGAATTTCAAAGGAATAAAGTAACAAAACGAAAATTATATTTAAACAGATATTTTTATCACAATTATTTTTACCCCCCTCAAAAACAACACTTTTCTGTACAAATTATGTACAGAGGTTGAATACATTATACAAAACAATTTTGGAGCCTCAAAACGGTGTTTTAATATACAATACTCAACCCTACTTATTACGAGCCCTTGCAGAAAGGGATATAGCTAATTTTATAACAAAATACCTTGTTCATTGTAGGGATATTTCTTTCTCTCTTTTTATATTTTTAAAGCCTCCCGTAGCTTAGCAGTAAGCTTATGACACTATAAAGTTTGGGGTTCAGTTTTCACGGTGGACATAGTGCAGAACGTCTATTGTATAACATATTTACGCTTAAAATATACATTTTTTAAATAAAAACAAGACAAAATTCTCATAGACTTTATTTATCTTCCTTTATCGTTAAGCATGGTTCAAACATATAACAAACAAAGCTCTGAATCCGTTTACAATACTTTAGATTTATAATATCATAGTTCTTTTTCAGAAATCTTTAGGCTTTAGGTAATTAATCTTCATACTCCCAAAATACAAAAACAGTGTTCTAAAGACATGTTTTGAAACCTGCACTTGCCCCACCCCCTGGAAAATTAAGTATACAATTCTTTCTTTATTCATTCAGTATATGTATATGAACTTTTCATTCAATTCAAAATTCACAAAATTCTTAGTTGTGGTTATGCTAAAACATCTAAAAATAGTTAGACAAAATAAGTTTTTTTTTATTTTAGCTAAACAATATGTAAGATCAATCAAAACTATAACTGTTAGAGATTTTTAAGAACTTCGAATTGGTAATTGTAGTAAAGCTACTAAGGCTACCGTCCCCAATTTTAATCTATTGGTCAGAGGGAAGGTATCCGGCCAGCAGCACCCTACGACGAACCATCTATGCTAATGGATTGACTGTACCTCTTAACGCATCCACAATTAAAACTGCTGGGAATATTTTGTGGTATCACACGGATTCAAATCCGGCTCTCCGAAACATTCTATGAAAGAACAAGTATTTTGTGCTTATCTAGATTACCAAATATTTCTATAAAGGTTCATGGCAGCATCATCATTTACTGTACTTTTGTTATTAATAACATTAGCTACTTTGATAGATTGGGTGCATAGTATTTTGAACAATTAGAACATATTTACTTCCTAGAAGCTTATTTTATGATAATTAATTTAAAAAATTGATTCAAAGATACCATTTACAAACACTACAAAGAAAAAATATATCTCTTATGACCTGCACTTAACTTCAGAAGATTATTCAAACATTGCCATCTTAAAATCAACGTAACGTTGTGCTGATAAATTCAATAGCGAGTACTAAATGATAATAATAGATGGCACTACCATATAGCAAGGAATTCAAATTCAGTTGCTCTCATTTTTGTGTGATAAGTAAGATTTCAGATTTCTAAATCAGCGTTGTTGAGACCTTTTCGTTAATTTGTATTTTATTTTTTACAATGTTAAAAACTGTTTTGTTTGTGTTATTCTAATTATTAAAATTATGTCATTAAGGACAAGGTATAGCCTAAACCACATTTCACAGTGCCTCCAGTGGCACAGCGGTATGTCTGCGGACTTACAACGCTAGAGTCCAGGTTTCGATACCCGTGTTGGGCAGAGCACAGATAGCTCATTGTCTAGCTTTGTGCTTAATTACAAACAAACATTTCACAGCATTTTTGTTACATCTTCTAATTACAGTAGTTAAGCATCTGAAAAGTAATTTCTTGATAAAACATTCTACAATCGATGTTTACAGTTCAGATTTTGTTTAAGCCTAATTTATGAGGTTACTTTTAGCAATTATTGAAGCTTTTCTACCACATTCCTAAGTTTTCTGTAGGTTTAAGGTAAACATAATGTTTTAAAGATGGAAAGATACACTAAAGGTAAAGGAAACAGAAATTATCCTAAAAGTATAATAGGTAATAATATTCGTGAATCGTTAGAAATAATAAAACATAAAAAGATCATGTAGTATTAAATAGGTATGGCGAATATTTCTGGAAGAATGTGGATTGATCTCCTTTGAATGGTTTAGCGTGAATGTA